ATTACTTTCAGATACACCGAGGCGGCAGACAAGAGAACATGGGTTCCAAGGATTTCATCACCCACAGGATAATTAATGACTGGGTCACAAGCAAAGGATGTTGGACACATTTGAGAAACAGCTTGAAGCTGTAATAATCCTTGCACTTTAAATAGTGCCTTATCACGTTGAAACATCTCAAAGTTCTTCCCGGTAAATACCACGGGGTAGAGCAACTGTGTAGCGTAGTGGCTGTGTATTTGTAGGTGAACACGACAGCCAATTTGCACACCGCAATACCCCACAAACAGCTGTGAAGTGGACAGTTTTAGCTGGTGGACACCAGGAGAAACTCACTTCTCTTTGCGAGTAGTGCCGTGAGATCTTAAACATCCCCTTTGCACAAGCACAGACAGGATCTCGGTTTAATATCTCATCTGCAGGCAGCACCTCTGATAATACAAGCAACCTCCCAGGACTGCATTGGAGTGTCAGCCAAGACTGTGAGTTAAAAGCCTTGTAAGCTGATAGCTCTCCATCAGTCAGAAGTACATGTTGGAAGTGCCGATGCTAAACCTCAGTAAGCAAACCCCATCCCCAAAGCCTTCATTATTTTCCTATAAGTCTATTAATAGTGACAGGGGATTAAGGAGATGCTTGATTGTATGTTGCATACTTGAATGGAAAAATCCCAGTGGAGCATTGCAGTTGGCGAAAGGAAAGACTGGCCTGACTGTCGTCAGTTCTCTATTTGCTGTATAAAGTGCGAATGATTATTCTTCAGAGTCCAAGATGCTACGTAACTGTGCTGTTGCCGGGTTGTTGCTGTGTTTCACTCACAAAGCACAGCCACTCCGCCCCAAAGCTCTGGAAGTCTCTCTTCCAATCCCTCCGCTTTGCCCCCTCCTTCCCCTCTTTTAGATCACAACTGAAGACTTTCCTCTTTGACCATGCTTACGGTCACCTCCTCCCTCCTCGGCATCAGGCTCCGCCACTGTTAAATGCTCTGAGACGCTGCCTCACATGAAGGCCTCTATATAAATGCAAGTTTTTTGTTGTTATGTATGAATTCTTGAGAAATGCCCACCCCTAATGTAGTTTGATGCACAGGGGCCAGAGACCAGTATGTGTAATGTGCTGAAGATTACAGTGTGTAATGTAATGTGTGATGAGATTACTGGCGCAGTGCCCTTGGGATAGTCCGTGCTGGAGGCCTAGATTAAAGGTGATGTTGCCTTCTCTAACAGTCTGGTGTTTGAAAGAGGACATGGCAGTGTTAATGTAGGTTGCTTCTAAGTAGACTTGGAACATCGCCACAGACGTTGCAGTGCAAGTGTAATCCTATCACCAAATAGTAGCAGCATTCTGATAATGCAATAATGAAATGATAATCTAATTTAACTGCACAACAGCTTTCAAAGCCATGAGGTCTTTTCTTCAGGTGTCTGAGAAGCAGACCTTTGAGATGCTAAAGGCTCATTTATAACAAGAAGCCAAGCAACACTTAGTCAGTTTGTGTTAGTCACTTGCCTGCTCTGCCCTGCCCTGCATGTTGTGGATCTCAGTTTTAATAATGCAACTTGCTCCTGCCTCAGAAATTCTTCACGCAGAGGGTGGCGAGAATGTGAAACTCACTACTGGAAGCTAAGATTGGAGCAAGAAGCATCAATGTGTTTAAGAATATATTGAAAATGTAAGAAAAAAACTTGCTGCATACATGAGGGAGAAGGGAACAGAGGGGTGGGAAATATAAACACCGGCACAGACCAGGTGGGTCAAAAAAGGTGGGCCTGTTTCTGTGCTGTGTCAGTCTATGTGATTCAATAACTGACCCTTCTTTCCCAGAGAGGTGAGGCAGGGAAATGGTGCGTCACATCACATTCACCTCACAGGGTGCCTGTGTGTCAAACGAACCTGGCTCACAAGCAAGTACTAATGAAGCAATTTGTTTTGTGAACAGTGTGTGGGCGTCTTATTGGCAAAATATGAAACCTGGGTTGGGAAACAGGGGAGCTGTAAACAGTGAGGATTTTTTTCTTAGGAAAGACGTGGGTGCAAAATAAGTTTGGTCTCTGCCTCAAATTAAAATATGGATTCCGTCTTCTAAATTAAAATACGGATTCCAATTTCCAAAATAACTGCAACTCTGTCCTTTGGAGTAGCAAGCCACTTGGCCGCGATACGCTGAATTATTCTTTGCGCGCATCGTGTGAACAATTGGTAACACAGCACTTGGTGAGCAACCACGAGCGATTGTGCTAAACATAACAGCGGTGGCTGATGTTTTCAGTCAGAACGCTGAGCAAAGACATTCGAGAAGATGTTCCTGATTCTCTACTGAGCTTTATTCCACTGTTGATAGTACGCTTCAAACAAATAGTTTAAGATGCTCCCCCAACACCTCCCCCCACCCACACCCTCCACTAGGAAGTGCACTGTCCGAAGAACCCAGGGGAGCTTGGCAAGGACTGGAGTGATGGGGGTGCGTGGTTTGGTGTGGGCGAGGATACTGGCTGCGGAGTTTTTAATTAGTTGGATGTATTGCTGGTGGTGTCATCTTTTTCTGGTGCTGTAGAATGCAGTGATTGTGCATTTTATAGTCTTAATTTGGAAACACTCTACTCTATACCTATCCTGTGAAGTGCCTTTGAGTTGTCTTCCTGACATGAAAGGCGCTGTATCAAATGTGAGGATTATTATCATTTATTTACAAGTTTTCCCCAGTTCTGCACCGTTTTAGAGTTTTGAGTCAAAAGGGCCTACGGACTAAAACATCAACTTCTTTGTTCTTGCAACAGACCTCAGAGTAAAAGAAACACTAAGAGTAATAGCACCTCATTCACAAGTCTCCCATTCTAATTAACATAAAGTAAAATGGGACAGTTATTACAGTGATAAACCACTATGCTGTTTACTCAGTGAGCTGATATGTACTAACGCAGGGATAATTGCTGTTAAGGTAATACTGTGCCAGACTGGCCTGGATTACAAATGGGAAACATTAGCAGGCGGGATATTCATCAGACTGGGGAAAGGAATTGGGAATGAAAGGTTATCACTCTTAGGTTTTCTTTAATGCTGTTGGAGGTTTGCAGTGAAAACATACAGTCGGTCGATGTCAGTCACACTTCATGTGCCTAGATCATAAACACAGGCAGTGACATCAGTGATGCTGCTGCCTGCACTATGCTCAGGAAGTGATGCCAGCGGTTACCTGACGACCCAGGCATTGGCCATTTTGCAGCGTGAGACGTTGGCTAGTTAGCTTGAATACACAGAAAACCACAGCTTAAGAGATGCAACGGGAGTGAAGGGTCCCAGATCTTGTTCGTTTTTGTCCGCAGATACAGTATGATATGGTGTTTACGGCAACTGCTTAGTGGCAACGATGAACTGGGGGCCAATGCCCAATAAGTGGCCTCCACCCAATCAACTGTAGTTGCATTGCACCCAAGGTCTTGTCTTCCATTCACTTCCCTTTCCTTCCTTGCCCACTGTCCTTTCCCTCACTTCCCTCCATCCCTCCCTCCTCCCCTCCCTCCTTTCCCTTCCCTTGTGACATTATTGTTTTTCATTTTCAGCAAAAGAGTTCAGATCAAAATAATTGATGATGAGGAGTATGAGAAAAACAAGAGCTTCTTCATTGAGCTGAAGGAGGCACGAATGGTGGACATGAGTTCACGGAAAGGTGGAGTACTCAAGCCAGAATAAACCACGGCTCCAGGCCCTCATCTCTCTGTCCTTCTCTCTTTCTCTTTCTTCCTCCTCTCTCTCTCTCTCTCTCTCTCTCCCGTTTGACTGCTTGAATCCCCCCCACCCCACCCCCAAGAGATAGTTAACACTGCTGCACTCTCGCAGTCAGATCTGTCACATGCTGCACATTTCAATCTGTGGTGTGTTAGTGAGATTCCAATCAAGGGTCAATTTAATAACCTGCCAGCTCGTAGCTACTCAGCCTTTTTTCTCTCTCTCTCTCCTCTCCCTCAATCCTCTCTTCCTTCTGAGATCTGTTGTATTGCTGCAGGAAGTAAATCTCCCCACCCACCACACACACACTCACACACACATAACCACTCAGTTATAATGTGGAAGATGAAAGCCTCACTACATAGAGACTGCAAAAGTCAGACAAGGTATAGGCACTTAACACTGACCATCAGTCTGGGGAGGTAATAATTCCTTCAAAAAAATAATTATCACTCAATCCACGACTATTTGTGAGACACTGCTGTGTGCAATTGGCTGCCGCGTTTCGCCCACAAAGTATACAGTCAATTGACTTTACCGTATATTCTGTGAAGCACTTTGAGATGTCTCGAAGACGTGATAAAGCGCTATATCAAATGCAAGGAATATTATTATTATTATCACTCATCTTCTCTCCTCCTCCCACCATCCTTTTCAACTCCTCCCCTCTCCTTCCCTCCACTACCGCCCAGACAACCTCATCACATCTACTCCACCAGCCCACTCCCCACCCACCACATTCCCGAATGTTCACTCCCAAAATACAGTCACAACGCTTCACTGTACAATCCTGTGAAGCTCTTTGAGACGTCCTCCCAACACGAGAGGCCTTGTGTCAAATCCAAAGATGATTCTTTTGACACTTTGATCTCATTTACAAATCGGGGGAAGGTTGGGGTGGGGGTGGGGGGTGGTTGAGGAGGTGCCGTAGGTTGGCTTCAAATTTCAACTATCAATGAGTTTGGCAGGTTGTGTGGTTTAAGAGATTGGGGTGGGGCGGGGGGGTTGGTGGTGGGCGGTGGGGAGGAATGGTCGTTTTGTAATTTTCTTTTGCTGGTAACAAACCAGGAAAGGCAAACTGAAACCAAGGCCAAGTATGGGTCTGTACTGACAGGCCACTGATGGTGGTGACATGTGACATGGATCTGAGTGCGTTGAAGGGCAAAAAAACCATCACTAACCAACAGCAAGCCCAGAGCTCGCATGTGTGTTGACTGTGGTGCTTCTCTCTTGGCAACCCATTGTACACACTCTCTTCTCTTATATCCTTACAGGAAAACCATAAGCGTTAAAATAAATGATGATGAGGAATACGAAAAGCAAGAACATTTCTTCATTATGCTTGGTGAACCGAAATGGATGAAATGCGGAATATCAGGTGTGAGATCCTGAGATGTTACGGCCTTTTTTTTTGGTTGAGAAAATCTATTGATTTAGTTTTATTTTCCCTCCTGTATTCCTGCTCTCACCCTGTTTCGGTCATCTATGCCTAAGCCATTTTTTAAAAAAAAATTATTATTATTATTATTATTAATTTTTATGTGGTTGTTGTTGTCGTTTTTCTCGATCACATGCCTCCGCGCTGCCTTGGCTAACTCTATTGCAATCCCAAGTCTTTGCCTCATTGCTACAGGGGAGCGAAGCTGAGCTCCAAAGATGTTCCGAGGCAACGCACGTGTCTCCATTTCCTTGTGATCAGCGTAATCCTGTTACTTTTTCATTTCATTCATTCATTCATTCATTCATTCATTCATTCATTCATTCATTCATTCGTGCAGTCACTCACTTATCTAGAAGCTAAGCCCTTTTTTGTTATCATCTGCCGGTTATCATCTGCCGAGCTTTCTTAAAGACTCCCACCGCAATCTATTTCTGTTTCCACCTTCCATTCACTTACTGTCGAAGAGGTACCGTCCTTTTTGTTCCAACCGCCAAAGGGTACTGTCATTTATATCTCTCCCGTAAAAGCTGTGTAACACTGAGACATCCTCCCGACGTAAAAGACGTAATACAATTGTACAAGTCACCATCCCCTCTCCCTCCCTGCTCACTGCTCTCTCGCGCCTCCCACTGGTCTAGTCAAGAGCCGCAGCGGGATCAGGAGCCAGTTGGCTGCCCATCTGCTCAGCCACAGAAGAATACTAAACATCCTTGTCCCTCCCCCACAATTGCCCCCCTGCCTCCCTTCACAAAACATTATTTCTCCCAAAACGGCATCATGTGACACTTTAGAATCAGCTGGCGCTTTAGCGTCTCAGTATGTTTGCCCTCCCTCACCCTCCCCCACATTCCAATTTAGCAAACAAAATCACTCCGATCACTATATAATATCAGGATGAGATTAATCCATCGCCCGACATTGAGGATCAGTTGGCGGTACTCACACAGGGGCGCTGTTTCTTTAACAGCATTACCATTCTATCTGAGTGCTGTCTTTCTGACTGTTTGTCGGTCTGCGTATCTGTCTGTGACTGTCTGTGTATGTCTGTCTGTCTGTGTATGTCTGTGACTGTCTCTCTGTGTCTGTCTGTCTGTCTGTCTGTCTCTTCCTGTCTTATCTGTGTCTGTCTGTCTGTCTGCGTGTGTGCTTGTTGCCTGCTGACTGGCTGAGTTCTCTGCTGTGTACATTGCATGTGGCTGCACCGAGGCCCCTGCAAGTTTGGCTGCCGTATTGTTCATGCAGATCTACATGGACCCTCACCCAGAGGCCGAGTGCACCAGCCCCTCACCCTGAGGCTCCCAGCAAGCAGGACCCGGCACGGTTGATGTCGCTCGGGGCACCGCTGCCGAGGCCACAGCCTGAGTTGACGGGGACAGGACTGGTGTCTCAGCCAAACCCTTGTTTGCTCCTGGACAGTACCTATTGCACGGGATGAGTTCCTGTGTCACGGGCACAACCCAAACCCCGCACCAGCACAGCAGCTTGTGTTACAATGACAGCAGGAACACCGCCCTGTTCAGGAGACGTGGGCGGAATCTAAAGCATCGTTCTGGGTTGACTGCATCAACCCCCTTTTAAAATGTTATTCACCTCCAGAAGCTTGCCTCTGAGACGACTTTCCCAACACTTAAATTAACTTGAGTAATTTCTAAATTTCTGACAACAATAATATCATTACTACTGCTAACAATAATACAGTAGGATGAGGACAGTGGGGTCAGACTTGTGGCATTTCATCGCAGGATTCCATAATCCACAATCTGAGTCACTCAACCCTTGTCACAGGTTGTACATCACGCCATCCCACAAGAAATCCCCTCCGACCCGATCTACTTCTAGAGCTGAATTCCCACAAGTCGTGGGGATTCTAATAGGATTCCTTAGAAATCCTGTTAACACATACCTTGAGTTAGACCCCAGTGGAGCTTAACTACTCCAGTCTCCCCGTATTTACTGTATTGTCAATTTCCCCCATTTCTGTATTTTTTGATATGGAACCTTTATAAAATATTAATAAATACAGACGATTAAGCTTGCAATCAAGGGAGCAGTTTCCAAAACGAGACAAGGAAACAGCCAAACCTTTAACATTTGGTGGTTGGTTAAATAAGAGTTGTTCAGTCATCAGTCAACCTTCGGAATAGGCTAGAGAGTTCTGGGAGTAAATAGTGTAGTTGTTAGTGAGCTCGCCTCACAAGCGAGAAGACCTGAGTTCAATTTCCGGGCAGGCCAAAATCTTAGGCAAGTTTCCTTATTACACAAGCTTATGTTTACCTCGCAATAAGCAAGAACTCAGTTATTAAACGATTGGCAGATCACTTTCCGGGGTAATAATTGCTTCCTCAATAAATAAATAATAAAAAAACATTTGGTCACTCAATCCATGACCGTTTGTAGGACACTGCTGTGTGCAATTGGCTGCTGCGTTTCGACCACAAAATATACAATCAATTCACTTTGCAGTGTATTCTGTGAAGCGCTTTGACCTGATAAGGCGCTATGTCAAATGCTAGGATTATTATTGTTATCAATATGAGGAGGAGAATAGAGAAAGGCACAGAGAGCATGTGTGAGCGAGAGAGAGAAACAGATAGAGAGTGAGAACTCCTGATGAGAAAGCAATCTCCTTCCACTGGGAACTACATGACAAGCCAGCATTCCAGACTAGGAAATAGAAAGACCGTTGAAGGGAAGTAAAAGATCAGATCAGAGGATTAGGCCCTAGGCCCTGGGGTGCATCAAAGTTATGGAATGCCTTTGGTTTTGACACCCACTGTTCTCTGGTTCCCAAACAGATCGAATCACTTGGAAAAAAAAGGCAATGGTTTAGATTATTCTGAAATGGGGATGGGGTGAGGGAATTCAAACACTGTCCTAGGGTCCATTTTGCTCTTGTTCATGCTGTCACCTCAAGCTGCTGGGTTTGCACACTTTTTGTTCCAAACTGGTTTGAAATCTGGCCCTTCTACTTGGAATTAAATGGATACTGGCAGTGGTTTGCTGTTTGAACTAATAATAATCCATGACTGTTAGTGCGATACTACTCTATGCCATTGACTGCCGCGTTTCGTCCACAAAATATACACTTTACAGTATATTCTGTGAAGCGCTTTGAGACGTCTCAATGAGGCGATAAGGCACTATATCAAATGCAAGGATTATTATTATTATTGCTTAATCCCGCACACAGCAAATGGTTGCGAGAAACAGTATCTCCTACTGAAATAAAGACCATGCAACTCACTATGTAGGAGCACGTCATTTAGTGTGACCTCAGGGTATTGGGGAACAGTGTTGTGTTCTCTCATTCAGTGAAACCCATGAGTCACGACACATTGTTGGTGATGAATGGATATTTGGACAATCACAATTACAAGATCACAATTATAACACAGCACAGAATTCCAATATCCCGTTTTTTCCCTCATCCGCTTCATGCAGTCATCTTGATCAAGGCATATAATCCCTTAAATGTCTGTTCCTGATCCATGTTCCCCTCTTTCCCTCCCCTCATCTATTTCCGGAGTGGAATTACGATGGGAATTCTAATAGGATTCCTATTAAGAAATATCATAAACTAGATGTAGAGTCATCGATTCAAGTCCAAATTACCTGTTCTCTTCCTGCACCTTAACGTGACATTGAAGCCTTTCTAATGGGGCGGTTTGATAGCGACCTTGAAAAATGTCACCAAATTGTCTTGTGCGCTTTGAAACGCATCAGGAAAATCAATTTCCAGCAGCTGTGTTAAGACATCTCCTGATCCGAAATGAGGTGAATATTTCAGTGGTTATTATGCCTTTATCGGGATTTAACTGCACCGCATGCTGTCCGAACCTCAATATTCCTGGGATTCCTCCTGTCCCTCACCCTGAGTGACTGAGCAGCTATCCTGGGTATGATCATGTGCAAAAACGGCACATCAATAAACTGGATTAAAATCCCAGAGCTTTCATGTCCCGACACATGAAGTGAGATCGGGTTATTTGCTAGCTGTATTGCCCATCTTCAGTTTTACTGGGCAAACAGAAAGGTTTGCTTTAATAATCCTACTTGAGGTTTGATTGTTCTTTTCCTTCTCTTTCTCCACAGCGCTCTTGTTGGCTCAGGGTAAGCAGACATTTCCTCATCTTCTACTCGCCATTTGCTAAGCTGTAAACTGCATGAATGTAAAGGGGGATCTTTCTCAAGAGGTGAAGCTTTGGGCAGCTATTCGAGCCCAGTGACCCAGAAACTTTTTGGGGCGGAGGGGGGATTCGTGGGAGCCTTGGTAATGCTTTTTATTTTCAATTTGGTAACAAATCAGGTTAATTAACTAAATCGTTCAACAATTCCATCCACTTTGATGTACGGGTATGTTTCCTTGCGTTTGTAGCGTTCCTATTGATATGACCCTCGAACTTCCTTCTCTCTGCCGGGAGAGGATCAATCTGATTTGCTCACACTGGCTTCTAGAGCGAGACAGTCAATTTGATCTGGGGATCTGAGCCAGTTGGGTTGAATAGGGGAGATTGGGGGATGGATGAACATTTGCAGGTTTTAACTTATATTCTTAATTAGACAGCTACACAGAGAGGAGTGAGAGAGAGAGAATCTATCAGTCATCTGGAAGTATGGATTTTAAATTCTAAACTAGCGTTATTCTGTATCAGCCCACATTGGTTCAGTTGGTAGCACTTTTGGCTCTGATTCAGAAGATTGTGAGGTCAAGCCCCATGTTGGGACTTTGAAATCACAATCAGTGCTGGGGAAGCCCTGTATTATTGGAGGTGCCGTGCTTCAGATGAAACATTAAACCAAGATCCTGTCTGTTTGTTCAAGTGCATATTAAACATCCCATGGCAATAATTGAAAAGGGAAGAGAGTTTCTCCTGGTGTCCTGGACAACAATCCGCCAAATAAATAGGTCATTTGTTTCATGGCTGTTTGTGGGAAATTGCAGTGATCAAATGGGCTACCGTTCGCTCACATATACACAGTCACTACCGTTCCTGTGAAGCGCTTTGAGACGATCTCCCGTGTGAAAGGCGCTGAAACAAGTTCAAGGAGTGTAGGATTATTATTATTTTGCGCCTGATCCGGGAGTGCTTCAGGCTGAGACCTGAGATTCATTAACTCTCTCCTCCTTCCTTGCCTCCTTTAAGATCTGTCTTAAGACCTTCCTCTTTGACCTTGCCTTCGGTCATCTTTGCACTCCCACCCCCCTTGCCCTCCACCCCTCTTAATTCTAACCCCCAGCTCAGGTGCAAACCATTCACTGTACAGCACCTTGGGATGTTCTCCTGACATGAAAGGCATTATATAAACGTAATTTGTTGTTGTTGTCATTGTTATTGGCCAAAAGAGATCCCACAGCCTTTTTCTGGCACTGGGTGAGGATACACTGGATGAGAAATAAAAATTCAATTCACTTCCATTCTGAGGTGAACAGTACAACAGTACTGTTTAAAAGTTTAACAGTACAGCTTCTCAGCGGATGCCATTGTATTTCAGAAATCAGTCTTTTTAACATGTAGGCTTCAGCGGACGGTGTGTTCACCCACAATCAACTATTTAGTTATGTTTTATACATGTCTTGTGAATGTTTCATAAGAACGTATAATTGTAGGCAATATGACAGCTGGTGCTTTTAGTCCTCTGCCATTGTTTGCTGTCTGTTGGTATCTAGGGCAGAGCAGCGCAGGAGAAGCACAGACATCAAGTTCTGAAAGTCTCCATTGAATATTAATCGATATTCATGTTCAGCGGCTTCCTAATGCTTACACATGACGGGTAAGAGTTGTGGTGGAGGGATACATATGGACACATTCTGCAGGTATTACACTGCAGACAGATTGCGAAGAGGGGAGCTCCAGTGTACTGGAAAGACAGGTCTTTTTGCTCATTGATTATGAAAATAAATTACTGCCTTGCCATCTTCAAAAGATACAAATCCAGGTCGGGGAAGGTGGTAGTGGTGGTGATGTTGAGGAGCTGGGAGGGAGAGGTGGGTGGTGGGAGTATAAGCAAGGAATAATTTACATCAGGTCATGATATTCACAGCTCCAAAGTAGAAATTGAAGCAGATCTATGCAAGCCAAAGCCCTTAATGAGTAGGATGGTTCTAGTTGGAAAAGCAGCAAGAAAGCTTGCCAGACAGCAATATCTATGGCAGTTTTAGTTGGCTAAACTCCAGCAATTTGTTGCTTCCGAAGCCTTGGCTCTCGCCAGCCTGCACCTAATATACTTCAGGATGTGTCCCTCCAGGGAGAGAGTGCCCATTCCATTCGAATAATCTCTGCAATTTCCATATGTGGGTGGGATGCATGGAATTCTCAGCTTGGTTTGGATGCTAGTAAGCACGGTGATAGGTTTCCGCACGTGATAGACAAACAACTGACCAAAAAGAAAAATGTCATTGGGCAGCCCGGCAGATCTCAAAATCAACCAACACAGAATCGTTGCCTCTGTCCCGGGAAGGATAATAAGAACATAATAGTAACCAGGGACTGGAGGAGGCCATTCAGCCCATCAAGCCTATTTTATCAGTTTATATGATCTTAGCAGAGTTTTTAGATCTTGGCAGAGCCCACTCTTTTAACAAATTCCTTAATGTTTCTACTACTCAAGTACGCCTAGAAAATACACAGTCACTACGCATCACAATGAATCCTATGAAAGGAATTAAGTTCAGTTGTTTATTTGTTAAACCATGGAGAGGTTCTCATTTTACGCTTAATCTTTTTGGCAATTTTGCACAAAAATAACAATAATCCTTGTATCTGATATGGTGTCTTTCATGTTAGGAGGACATCTCAAATCACTTCACAGGACACAGTGTAAAGTGCAGTGACTGTTTATTTTGTAGGTGAACGGGCACGGTGAACGTTGTAGGCAACGTACCACAAACAGTTATGAAGTGAATGACCAGCAGTACTGTGAATTGTTGGCCAGGAGAAAGTCCCTTCTCTTTTTGAATAGTGCCATTGAATCTTTAATATCCACCTGTGTTTTAACATCTCATCCGAAGCACAGCACCTCCAACAATGAACTTCCTACCAAAATGGTCACTCTTCATAACTGATCTTGGAAAAACAGCTCACCCTCCCACTTAGTGTTGGTGTGGAGTCCTGTAGTTCAGTGGTTAGAGCACACACCTCGCAAGCAAAAGACCTGGGTTCGATTCCTGGTAGTGCAAATTGTTGGGCAAGTTTCCTTACTCCACACACCTCTGTTTATCTAGCAGTAAGTAGGTTGTTAGTCGATTGGTGGATCGCTTTTCCGGTCAAAAGAAAATGTCACTTCAATCCATGACTGTTTGCGGTACACTGCTGAATGCAATTGGTTGCTTTGTTTTGCCCACAAAATATAATCAATTCACTTGACAGTATATTCTGTGAAGCGCTTTGAGACATTTCGAAGATGTGATAAGGCGCTATATCAAATGCAAGGATTATTATTATTATTGGCTTACAATAAGATTTCTTCTTTCCAATGTGTCTCCCTGTTTTGCTCCTGCTTTTTATTTGTTCGGCATTGCCAGCTGTCAATAAGCGATTGCATCCGCTCAGCGGATTCCGGTCTACTTCATATCCCCCGCCAGTTTCCACCCCATCATTAGCCTCAGCCTCTCTGCCCCCACTCTTTGGAACTCCATCTCACAGTCCCTTTGCCTCGCTCCCTCAATTGCCTCCTTCAAGACCCATCTCAAGACCCTCCTCTTTGACTGTGCCTTTGGTCCTCCTTCTTGCCCTACTCGCCCTGCTCTCTACTCCTCCTTATCCCAATCTCAAATTCAGGTCCAAATCCCTAATTATCCAATGTCTTGGGATGTCTTCCCGATGTGAAAGGCACTATATAAGTGTAACTTGTTGTTGTTGCATTATGACAATTCATCTGTAACAAGTTACCTGATGCACACACAAACCTGCATGCATGGTATGGATATAGTTCAGGAAGAATTTGAGCATGAATATGCCATGCGATGTCTTCACAATCCTGGATCTCAACGTGATGAATTCATTCAAAGTAGCACTCAACAGCCTCCTCTATCCATCTATCTGTCTTGGTTCAGAGTTCTAAAGTGATCCATTAAATCACTGTAAATGGATGTGACCTGGTGTGTGACTAAATGCATTACAAATCGGGATTTCAGAATGAATTCATCAAACAAATGATCGCTTTGATCAGAATCTCTAGGAACGCATTCCACATCTGAACAAATCGATTTTCTGGGCATTTTAATCCTGCGCAGTGTTGATGTATATATATTTTTTGGAAACTGCTTAAAACTAATGAATGTAAATCGAGATGTTCCATTCAGAGCTCCTCAGTAAAGATTACTCACTGACTTCCACGGTTTCAGTGTGAACCGATAAGATTCCTCCCACAATTCTTATAGCCTTGAAGTACTGGATTCCTCTGCAAGTTATATGAAATGTCCTTTATCCATGTCACAATGCAGTCCGAAGGGTAAGAATAATGGGGTTTTATCAGGTGCGTCTCAAGACCTACCTCTTTGACCGCGCTTTTGGTCATCTCTGCTCTCCCCACCTCGGCTTCCACCCCAAGCTCGGGTGTCCAACCAGCAGTGTTAAGGGTTTTGAAGCATCCTCCCAACGTGAGAATTGCTGTATAAATGTGTCTTCACCCAGCCAAGAAAACCTGGCTTCAGAGGCGACAGGGAATTACTAGGGATGAGAAAAGGACAATTTGTATCACACAGCCCGTAATAAATCAACACCGGGGATAATCATCAGGACTGATATTTGTAACCTTGATACACTTTTCTCCCCTTCTCCCTTGCTCGGTGTCCTACTGGATGCCTGTGAAGTGCTCCGAGATGTGAAGTCTGGCTACCTGGATTGCTAGTACAGTACTGAATACGATACAATACAATTTACATTCATACAGCATCTTTCACATCGAATTAAGCGATTCAAATGCACGTTTGAGTCGTAGACTTTGCAAATGGATGTGATCTCAGACCGCGCACACAGGCCAGGCTATGGAGATCACTTTCTGTAATGATGTTGCGCAGCAAATTTGGATGGGGAATTCGGTTCCGCATTACACACTCATGTTCAGCTGTCCCATATTAATCCTGTATATAATGCAAAATTGATTAAATT